GGCCTGGTGCACTGGGAAGACCCAGAGGGATGGGGTGGAGAGGGAGGTGGGAGGGGGGACCGGGATGGGGAATACATGTAAATCCATGGCTAATTCATTTCAATGTATGACAAAAACCACTGCAATGATGTAAAGTAATTAGCCTCCAACTAATAAAAATAAATGGAAAAAAAAATAAAAATAAATTAATTAATTTAAAAAATAAAGAGAAAAAAAATAAAAGAGTTTGCTTTTAATCAAAAACAAAGTCTCATAGAAGACTTGGTAAGCACAATAACTGCAGCTGTGGATCCTAGGGAGGCAGTGATCTTGGAAGAAATCCAGAAGACATACATGATTTAGCAGAAGCTCAAAACAGGCAGGAGGGTCAAGGGTCCCTGTCACGGAAAGCCAGCATGCATTTTTGGTTTGTTTTTCCCCGATGGTTAGGTTCTCATTAGTTAAAATGCAGAAGCTCTGTTTCATTTCTTTCTTATTCTTCTCCTTTGCTCTCCTTCATCCAGCGTAGAGGATGATTCAATGGCAGCTCAGTCCATAGTTACTAACCTCCCTTAAGCATACATTCCACCCCATGTTCCCATCAGGAAAAAAAAAAAAAATGCTGAGTGATTCCTGAGCAGCCTCATCAGTATCTTGACACTGTGTCCCTCTAGCTCCCATGAAGATCCGGTGGAGAAGCTGCCCCATGCCTTGGCTGAGGAACAGGCTCTGGGTACCCCGAAGGTAAGCGCACCTCTCTTTATCTGGGATAACAGTGTTCCTTCACTTCTTTATTTTTAATTTAGTTGAATACAGTTACAGAAATCTGACAATGTACATTATCGCTTATGTATACAATGCCTTGGATGGGGATATATTGAGGGTAAAACTATTATTAACACAGACCTGATTCAAAAGGATATTTAAAAAACAGCATCAATTATTACATATAACAGTAGGTATTTTCCTCAGCAGAAACTTTTCCTCTTTGAATAAGAATTTTGTAACTGTTGGTCAAATTGAAACTGAGAGCTCTTACATGAAATAGTCCAGGCTTTCCAACAGGGGAACACTCTGTTCTTTTTGTAGGACCATTGACTTAAAGAGTTTTAGTTTTCTGAGGACAAAAACCACATCACAGAAGACTTAGTGCACAGAACACAGGATGGTAACACCCTCACACTCTTTTCTTCTCTCTAATCACAGGTACATGGAACAGCCAATAAAAACTGTCAATATTCAAGGATAATTCCTCTGCTGAGGAACAACCTAATTGATGAAGGTGGAGCTCTCTTGCCAGCTCTGGTTGGAGAGACACCCTGACCCTGGATCCCTACAGGCAATGAGGGCTGGGGGTACAGAGCAAGAGATTGATCTCCCAGGAAAAAGCACTGGCCATGTTCCAGTGTCTTCAGAAGCAAATGCATCATTTAGATGGTTGAGATTGTGTAAATGAGGGTGTTTGGAGGTGGGCATGTATTGAAACCACATAGAGTGATTGTGAATCTGCCTGTATGTGTACTTCCTCAGGAGATGTTTCCTCTTAAACAATAAACTTGTCAATTTTCTTTGCAAAAAGTCTCATCACCGCTGTACACTGGGAAGGAGATTTGCTGGGAAGAATTTGTTCATATACTGGAGAATCTACAAAGCAGGTAACTGACCATTGCGTATTCTGTCTGAGCTACATGCAGCAACAAAAAAGGAGGAAGCAACACAAGTTTCTGGTGAGAAGACACTTTATTGTTTCTCGGGTGGTCGGGAGGCCTCTGGGCTCACTGGTTTCCCCCAGAGCAGAGCTCCGATCCGTGGCTGTGGTTGTGGTAGTCAGTGGCTATGTCCGCCAGCAAGGACAGGAACTCAGAAAAGTCAATATGGTGGTCCTTATTCTTGTCTTTTTTATCAAAGATATTGGACAAGTAATCTCTGCCTCTTTTCTCCTGTGGGGAAAAAACACAAAACAAGGCAATTTCAGCCCCACAAGAGTGATGAGCTGGGAGAAGAGGAAGAGGCAGAGACAGAGAAAAGAGGACCCAGCACAGCCCAAAGGTATCTGGTGTGGCATTGAGGAGGGGAGGTGTGGGATGAGGTGGGGACACTGACATCGCCCTGCAGTTCAACAGAGAGTCCTTCCCCAAGTGTGAACTTGGATGGGAGATTCACACGGGGAGCAGGCTCTGCCCTGAGTTGCCCTGACCGGTGTGCTGATGGGTGGTCTCCAGCCCCAGGCCACCCCCTCAAAACCCCCTACGAGGCTGCACCTACCTAAGTTCTGCTCCAGGACTCAAATAAACTCTGCGCTGTGCTCAGTCTGTCTGACTCATTACGACTCCGTGAACTGTAGCCCACCAGGCTCATCTGTCCATGGAGATTCTCCAGGCAAGAATACTGGAGAATCTATCCCTTCTCCAGGGGAACTTCCTGACCCAGGAATCAAACTGGGGTCTCCTGTATTACAGGCAGATTCTTTACCAGTTGAGGCACCAGGGAAGCCCCAGATAAGCCCTACTCATGTGTAAATATAACCGAATCACTGTGTGGCATACCTGAAACTAGCACAATATTATAACTATATTATATTATAACTATATACATATTATAACTGTATTATCGACTCTACTTCAATTAAACAAATAAATAATACATAAACTCCATCCTTGTCATCTTCAATCTAACCCTCCTCTCCTATTTTCTCTTTGGGCTCCAGGATCCTACATGCTCTGAGTTCCCTTTTCTTACTTACCCAACCTCTTTGTTACCTAGTAACCTCTTCTTTTTGTAATTCATTCCGAAAATTCTAATTGTCGAGTTAAATCAGGTCAGCATTGCAAGAGGAGGCGTTAAATTCTGTCAGTATGCATTTATACAGAAAACAACCGACTTGGTCCAGAGGTGAGAGGGATGGGGGAGAGGCAAGATAGGGGAAGGGGATTAACAGGTACAAACTACTAGGTATAAAAAAAAGAGAGAGATAAAAAAATGCAAAGTACAGCATAGAAAATATGGCCAATGTGTTATAATAACTTTGATGGAGTATAATCTATAAAAATATCAAATCACTATGTTGTACACGTGAACTAACACAACATTGTAAATCAAATATATTTCTAGATAAATAAGTAAAATTTTGTGCTTCTATTAAAAAAATTCTGCCAATGATGGAATTTCTGTCACCTTCCCTCTGATCTCAAGAACCCTGAGGGGAGCCTCAAGAGCCTCTCAAGATCTGAGCAGAAGAGTTTGAGTCTCATACAGAAGGTGGGGCAGGTGAGAGGGGACCCATCCACTGCCCTCCAGTTGTAGCGCTTTTTGATAACATCATCAACTACTTGTATCCACACATTTTCCTACTTTGCCACATACATCATCTCTTTACACCCCGATATAAGACAGGATAGGAAGTTCTATGATGCACTTTTGCAAATGAGAATATGAGGATCAGAGAATGAGAGTGACTGGCCCAAAGCCACCCAGGAAAGGATCAGTCATGCCAGGACCCAGTCACCATGGGGGACCAGATCCCCACTCACACAGGCACTGAGGAAGTTGGGGAAATTCTCCAAAAGTATTGCAACAGGACACTGGAAAAGAGTAGAGAAAACTGGGTTCCTGGACCTAAAGTGGATGGAATTTTGGACTCTGAAGGCTGCATGGTCTCCATTTTTATTTGTTCAGTCCTTCTACAAACTCGGTCTCAGAACAATAACCATCACCACCACTTACTGAGAACTTAAGGTGTGCCGGGGCTCAACGCACCTACCCGTTCTTGCTCTCTCTTTAGTCCTCACCAACTAGGCATTACATCTGTTGTCTCCATGTAAGAGTGGAAAATACGTGCATCAGGATTTCAAGTAAACTAAACTACACAGCTAGTAGATAGCAGTCAGGATCAGATCCCAGAAAAGTCTGGTTCAAATTCTTAGTCTTGATCCTTTAACTAGACTTCTTGTGCCACATCAGGCCCTGCCTTCTGGGACTCACAGTCCAGGGGAGTGAAGTAGGTCAGCTCACTGCCATCTTCACAGCCGGTCCTCAGTGGGTCCTGGGAGGGAGACAGGTGTCAGGACCCACAGTGACAGATGGGGGAACACAGAGAGCGCAGTGGGCTCAGCCTAGTCACCTGCTGCTGAGGGGACTCTCAGGGTCAGAACCCCGAGTCCTGGCTTCACCTCCTCACTCTTGAGTTCCCTTCTCAGCCCCTGGGGTGCCTGGACCACTCAGACCTCACTGTCTGGGTCCAGTGGTGGTAACAGCCAGGGAATGATCCTGGGGGCTACAACTTGGGCAAAGTTTCCTCCTGGCCCCTGATGCTGAATTCCTACATGTCTTCCATGCCCTTTCACCTTTCTCCATGCAAAACAATCTCTTGGGAGTTGGCAGGCAAGCCCCGGGCTCTGCTGTGTCCAAACCTGCTGTTGAAATGCTACGTGTGGGAACAAGATGGGGTAGTCAGCGGAGCCCCTCTAGGCTGGGTGAGGAAAGGGGCTGATGAATCACTGATACTGATCATTTTCCTGTTCCCTCTTCCTGAATTTCCTCATATGACACAAGAGTGTCCTGGTTCATCTGGTGAGTAGTCCTCTGGCTCCTTGGGCCTCTATTGAGCTGGTCTGATGTTTTTGGACCCATCTCATTCACCCAAGTAGCTTCCCACCAACTAGGAGAGGGCATAGCCGGGAATGGTGACCCCAAACGGGTGGTCAATGTCTGGGACCTCTTGGGGGTTTCTTCACGGAGGCAGCACAGTCCGGGCTTCCTAAAAGATCCCACTTTGGTGGCAGAAGAAAACAAAAACAGCTTGTTATTTTTCTTGTTTGTCTATTTTTTTATTTATACTTATGTATTATTTACATTTTGAGTGCAGACTCTGTTCTGGATGTGCACGTAGGGGGAGCAGAGAAAGACATTGCAGGCGTGGATGGTATTTGAGTGTTGCCCATCTCCTGGGGGCACGCGAGTAGCCCAGTCTACCCTGTGTTGGGGATATACAGTGTGGCGGTGGTGGGAGCGGGGAGAGGGTGGAAGGCCCTGGCCCCAGACCTCAGAGGCTCCAGACCTCCTGCAGTTCAGTGGTATTTCCCACGGGAGGCCTCCAGGCAGAGTCATGATCCCCAAGTCCTTGTGCATGTTGATTGGTTTATCACACCGTCCGCTGGCCACACTGTCCCCTGGCCACTCTCGCTGAGGTCTGGTCCACATCTCACTCTCACTGGCCCCAACGCCCAGAGCTAGGTGAGAACTCCATGGACACTGGTTGAACCAGCAAGTGAGGTATCGTCAGAAAGGTTCAGGGGAAGACTGTTGGAATTCTGAGAGTGGGAGACATCACTTGTCAGGTGGGGGCATCAGGGACAGCTTGGTTGGGGGCATCCTTTGAATAGCCTTGGAGCATTGCCAGCAGCCGACGCACTTTGGGAAGGTGGCAGTGAGACAGTGATCAGAGATAGGCCCTTGCTCTCTGTCTGTGGTCACTAGGGCTGTGCTGAGCATTGACCTGGGCTTCCAGCAGCAGTTAGGGGAGGGGCAAGAAGGGAGGGAGTGTGGGTGGGGCACTCACTGGAGGCTTCGGGACACAGTGCTGCTTCTCAGTTATCGCCCTGGAGGATGGAGACTTTAATGCAGCCCAGAGCCTGTGCTCCCCTCCTGAAAAGCTTTCCAGACTGGAATGGGTCAAGATTTATTGTTATTTACTGTTATTAATTCTGTGACCCTGAGAACCAAAGGAATTAGCTTTCTCTTAGATCACCTATGCAGACAGTTTTGAGAGGTGACCCTAGGGTTACTTCTGCTCAAATTTGGGACATTGTGGAGAATCCACTCAAATTTGAGATCATTCCTGATCTCCTTTCCAGTTTCATCAAGGTAAGTTTGGTGCATGTAGGCTGAGGCTGGAGAGAGGGAGGAAGTGGTGGGGTTCATTTCCAGAAGGCTCCCTGAGATTCTCATCTACAGACAGCACTGTTACTATTCTGGTGGTGCCAACCATAGACCCAGTGGGAGATTCCTGCCCTGAGCGGGGAAATTTGATTTTCTATTTCTTTAGCTTCTGCTTGGTGGTGCACTGAGGACTTGTCACACACAGTTGTCACATGAGGTTTCTCCAGGATTGCTGGGATGTCTTTGCTGGTTTCCATGTGAGCACCAATCAGCAAATTTTAATTTTTGCAGCTGTGTCTTCTGGTAGTGAACGCTTCTGAATTTATCTATACTCTAATTTATATTCTTCTTATTTATTTATACTCTAATCTCTTCATGGACCTAACAGAAGCAGAAGATATTAAGAAGAGGTGGCAAGTACACACAGAAGAACTGTACAAAAAAAATCTTCACCACCCAGATAATCACGATGGTGTGATCACTCACCTAGAGCCAGACATCCTGGAATGTGAAGTCAAGTGGGCCTTAGGAAGTATCACTAGGAACAAAGCTAGTAGAGGAGATGGAATTCCAGTTGAGCTATTTCAAATCCTAAAAGATGACACTGTGAAAGTGCTGCACTCAATACGCCATGAAATTTGGAAAACTCAGCAGTGGCCACAGGACTGGAAAAGGTCAGTTTTCATTCCAATCCCAAAGAAAGGCAATGCCAAAGAATGCTCAAACTACCACACAATTGCACTCATCTCACACGCTAGTAAAGTAATGCTCAAAATTCTCCAAGCCAGGCTTCAGCAATACGTGAACCGTGAACTTCCAGATGTTCAAGCTGGTTTTAGAAAAGGCAGAGGAACCAGAGATCAAATTGCCAACATCTGCTGGATCATTGAAAAAGCAAGAGAGTTCCAGAAAAACATCTATTTCTGCTTTATTGACTAAGCCAAAGCCTTTGACTGTGTGGATCACAATAAAGTGTGGAAAATTCTTCAAGAGATGGGCATACCAGACCACCTGATATGCCTCTTGAGAAACCTGTATGCAGGCCAGGAAGCAATAGTTAGTACTGGGCATGGAACAACACACTGGTTGCAAATGGGAAAAGGAGTGCGTCAAGACTGTATATTGTCACCCTGCTGATTTAACTTCTATGCAGAGTACATCATGAGAAACGCTGGGCTGGATGAAGCACAAGCTGGAATCAAGTTTGCTGGGAGAAATACCAATAACCTCAGACATGCGGATGACACCACCCTTATGGCAGAAAGTGAAGAATAACTAAAGTGCCTCTTGATGAAAGTGAAAGAGGAAAGCGAAAAAGTTGGCTTAAAGCTCAACATTCAGAAAACTAAGATCATGGCATCTGGTCCCATCACTTCATAGCAAATAGATGGGGAAACAATGGAAACAGTGGAAGAGTTTATTTTTGGGGCTCCAAAATCACTGCAGATGGTGATTGCAGCCATGAAATTAAAAGATACTTACTCCTTGGAAGAAAAGTTATGACCAACCTAGACAGCATAATAAAAAAGCAGAGACATTACTTTGCCAACAAAGGTCCGTCTAGTCAAGCCTATAGTTTTTCCAATAGTCATGTATGGATGTGAGAGTTTGACTATAAAGAAAGCTGAGTGCAGAAGAAGGAGATCCAACCAGTCCATCCTAAAGGAAATCGGTCTTGGGTGCTCATTGGAAGGACGGATGTTGAGGCTGAAACTCCAATATTTTGGCTACCTGATGTGAAGAGCTGACTCATTTGAAAAGACCCTGAAGTTGGGAAAGATTGAGGGCAGGAGTAGAAGGGGACGACAGAGGATGGGTTGGTTGGATGGCATCACTGACTCAATGTACATGAGTTTGCGTAAACTCTGGGAGTTGGTGGTGGACAGGGAGGCCTGGCGTGCTGCGATTCATGGGGTCGCAAAGAGTCGGACACGATTGAGTGACTAAACTGAACTGAATCTTTTCCCAATGCCTACCACCGAGGTTTGCATAAAATCATGTTTTGGGGATAGAAGCAGAACAGTGGAACTTCCATGCCCTCTCTGGGTATGCCCCTCTCCTGTACCTCCTGGAAGCCCTCCGAACTCTTTACTTTTGCGATTTTATGGAGTCTTCATCACTTGGGATGATGGATCACTAACTCCATTTTCAGTACTTCTCTCTTCTTAAGAGCATGAGGGAAGAACTGAAAATTTCAAGCTTCTAATCATGGCTTGGTCGTTTTGGTGATGAACCCTCAATCAGCAGCCCATCCAGAGTCACTTCTTTAAAGCAAAACACACTGTTATCACCCAGGAAAGTATAAGGGTTTCAAGAGCCCTGTGTCAGGAGTCAGGGTCAAAGACCAAGTATTAGAACAAAAGATGTTTCTAATGCAAGGGTTTCAGGAGCTCTGTGCCAGAAACAGGGGGCAGAGACCAATGTATACTTTCTATTATCTCTCAGCTCTAATGAACACAGACTTCTGAATTATTCACTCTGGGGGACAGGGCTGGGGTGGCATGGGATAGAGTAAAAGCTGATTGGTTCTGTCTAATTGGTTGCATTTCTTAACACCAATAATGAAATATCAGAAAAGAAATGCAAAAGAAAAAACCCCAAACCTTTAAAAATTGCAACGCCGAAAATGAAATACTTAGCACTAAACCTCACCAAGGAAGTGAGACTTAAAGGCTGAGAACTATAAAACATTAATAAAAGAAACTGAAGGCGACTCAAAGAAATGGAATTATATCCCATGCTCTTGGATTGAGAGAATTAATATTGTTAAAAAGGCCTTATAAGCTTTTGCACAGCAAGGGAAACCAGAAACAAATGAAAGACAACCCTCAGGATGGGAGAAAATATTTACAAATGAAGCAACTGATGAGGGATTAATCTCCAAAATATACAAACAACTCATGTATCTCAATATCAAAAAAACAAACAACTCAATGGAAAAAATGGGTGAAAGATCTAAATAGACATTTCTCCAAAGAAGACGTAAAGATAGCCAACAAACACATGAAAAGATGCCCAACATTACTAATAGTGAGATGCAAATCAAAACTACAAAGAGGTATCACCTTACACTGGTCAGAATGGCTGCCATAAAAAAATTTACAAACAACAAATCCTGGAGAGGATGTGGAGAAAAGGGA